CTGAATAATTGTCCTGTATGTTTTCTGTCCCATAGGAATTAAAACTGCTATTTTGGTTGGTGGGATGTCCACACAGAAACAGCAGAGGATGTTGAACCGCCATCCTGAGATTGTGATTGCCACGCCAGGACGGCTGTGGGAGCTTGTTAAAGAAAAGCACTCCCATTTAAGCAACCTTCGGCAGCTCAGGTGAAGGATGGTACCTCGCCCTTCTCCCTTACCTGCTCTCAAGCCTTAGGTGACATGATGGTGTATGCAGTGCCTTTTCCCTGTCCTAGGATGCCATGATGTGGTACCATCCTGGCCTTGCCCTTAGAAAGCTAGGCATGTATGAGGAAGTTGAGGCCCTCATGGTGATGGGGGTGGTGCCTGCACTTGACAGCATGTGGTTCAGGTGGGGCGTAGAGTATGTGGATGATTCCTCTTCCCAGCTACTAAACAGTGATGTGGCTCTGTCTGGATCTGCAGGTGCCTGGTCGTAGATGAGGCAGACCGGATGGTTGAGAAAGGCCATTTTGCTGAGCTGTCACAGCTGCTAGAGATGCTCAGTGATTCCCAGTACAACCCAAAGAGACAGACACTTGTTTTTTCTGCTACACTGACCCTGGTACATCAAGCTCCTGCTCGACTGCTTCATAAGAAGCATGTTAAAAAAATGGACAAAACTGCCAAACTTGACCTCCTCATGCAGAAGATTGGCATGAGAGGCAAGCCTAAAGTCATTGATCTCACAAGGAATGAGGGCACAGTGGAGACGCTGACAGAGACCAAGATCCATTGTGAGACAGATGAGAAAGACTTGTACCTGTACTACTTCCTGATGCAGTACCCAGGCCGCAGCTTAGTGTTTGCCAACAGCATCTCCTGCATCAAACGCCTGTCGGGACTCCTCAAAGTCCTGGATATCATGCCGTTGACTCTCCATGCCTGCATGCACCAGAAGCAGAGGCTCAGAAACCTGGAGCAGTTTGCCCGGCTGGAAGAGTAAGTCAAGCCTTTCTCCAGAGGCTAAGCCTGTAGCCACTGGGCCATGGGCAACCCAGGATGGTAAGGAAATGACAGGAAGTCACCTTCTGTCATAGGGTCCTTAATAGTAGAAGGCAGCTATCTTTTTTTTTTTTTTTTTTTTTTTTTGCTATCTTTTTGTTGTCTGTATGTTTGTTCAGTATTTGGCAAGGTCACCCTCATTTAGTGTTTTTGCTTGCTGTTAATGGCATACAGAAATTTTTATAATAGTGACAATACTTATTATTATTGAACATTTAAACAACAGATAAAGTCCTGTGCTTACACTTTAGGCACATTATCACAGTCACTTTTTTTTTTGGTACTGGGGATTGAACTCAGGACCTTGCGCTTGTGAGGCAGGTATGGTGCCACTAAGCTAGGTCCCCGGCCCTATAGACACTTCTAATGTCCTTAAGAAACAGCAGGATAAATTCTCGTTAAGAGCACAAACTGAAACAGTGCTGGCTCCTTCACTTCCTAACTCATCAAGTTATTTAACATCTCTGTGCTCCATTTTCTCAAGTTGGAATAATTATAGGAGCTACCTCAGAGTTGTTGGAAGGATAGAGTGATTGAGAATTCCTGTATATAAAGTGCTTGGAATAGTCTCTGGCACATAGTATATGCTTGCTAAATGTCAGCTTTAATAACTACTAACTCAACTACCATTATTCTCATTTTATAGATGAAAAAAATCAGGTCTGGAAAAGCTAATCAGCTCACCCAGGGTCTCTCATCCTGGAACTGGCAGAGCTAAGCCTCAGCCAAGTCTGTCAGACCCCAGAGCCCATGCTGCCTCTCTTAGAGCTGTTTGTCCTTCTGTCTTTGGACCACACTGCTGCGCAAGGAGCACGGTACAAATAGTCTTGTGAAGAGTGAGGAAGTCTGTGTGACAGTGCTAGGAGATGAGGTCCCTAACCCAGAGTATATATGGCCCCATTTAATTCATTGGAAGGGGCCTTCTGTCATTGTAGAGTATGACATGTTGGTTGGGGTCAGTGAGACCCAGGTTTAGATCCAACAGTACCTGCACAGGCCTATATATGTCTTGGGAAGCTAAGCCTCTGAGCCTGTTGATTTAGGTGGTGTCTTGTAAGATGGTTGTAAGTACTGTATTGAAGTGTTTCAAGAGTTCAGCAGGTGGTTGGAGTTTAATGATTGCTTTTAGTTAAAATTATGAATGTGCTTTCTGTCTCCATAGTTGTGTTCTCTTGGCAACAGATGTGGCAGCTCGAGGTCTGGATATTCCTAAAGTCCAACATGTCATCCATTACCAGGTAGGGCTATCTGGGGCCTTGAAGGCATCTTGCTTTGAATGGGGGATTTTTAAATCAAAGGTTGAAGGGGGAAGATGAGTTACTGGTCCTGATTCCCCCTGCAGCCTATATACCACTGGGATCTAGTGCTTACTGGTGCCACTTTGGGAATACTGGTGAGATTCAGTCTCAGGAAAACCTCCTTGACATAGTTTATATGCTAATGTCCCATAGCCTTCTCTCCAAGCTGCAATACTTGATATCATCAGGTTAGTCTTCATTTCTTCCATGAAATAGATAGCAAGTTAAGCATGTATCTTCGTTTTCTTTTGCTATAATAGAATATCTAAGACTGGAGGATAATTTACAAAGAAACGAGATTTGTTTTGCCTCGTGCTTCTGGATGCTGGAGGGTCCAAGAGCATGGCTCCAGCATCTGCTCAGCTTCTGGTGGGATCCGCAAGGCAGAAGGACAAACGGAGATAACCTTGCTTTATAACAACCCATTCTCACAGTAACTAATCCAGCCCCTTTAGAGCAAGAGCTTCCTCCCTGGAGATAGCATTAATCTATTCTGGGGACTCTTCCCATGACCCAGACACTTCGCATTAGGCCCCCACTTACTTCCCAAGACTGCTGTGCTGAGGAACTCAGCCTTGGCATCAGCCATAGTAGAGACAGATCATATTCAGACCAGAACAGCATGCTAATGGTTATCTTTGCATAGAAAAGTAGAAGAATATGGTAATGAAGACTTCTCTTGGCTTAAATTCCAGCATTATAATCTTGATCAGGTTAATCTCCCTGCACCTCCATTTTCTTGTGTGTTTAATGGCAGTTATGATACTGCCTACTTCGTAGGTTTTTATTTAAATAAAATAAGTTAATATTTTACAACAAGCTTAAAAAGTTACCTGCCAGGGCTGGGGATTTAGCTCAGTGATTCTACCACCTGCTTTGTAAGTACAAGCTCCCCAGTTCGATCCCCCATACGAAAGAAAAAAGTTACCTGGCCCATCGTAAGCACTTGGTAAATGTTAGTACATAATGATAGTAGCAGTATCATTAGTGCATGCACCTTGTAAAGTAAGAGTAGTTGCTAGGAATATGGACTCCAAAGCCAAAATGCCCTGCTTTGAATCCCATCTGATGCTTCATAGCTAGCTAGCTAGGAGCAAGTTACTTAGTACCTCCTTCCTGTTCAGTGTCACTGTAACAGCTACTCCTTTATCCTGCATCTTGCTCTCTTCCACAGGGACTGACCCAGCCCCTCCCCAAATAGGGATTTGCTCTGAAATCCGTACCCTAAAGATTTTTTAAAGCATAAAGAAGGATTATAGAGAAACACAATGAAAATGTCATAATAGCTACCATTTACTGAGTACTCACACTGTGCTATGTGCTTCATCACGAGCTCACTGTAGCTTTCATGACAACTCTATGGGCCAGGTCACCGTCTATTAAATGTGGCTAATCAGAAAGAATTTCATACTGCTGTGGTGAGGGTTAAATGGTATAATACATAGTGATTAGAATACCTGGCACAGTGCAATCACTCTGTGTTGGATGTAAATACCAAGTAGTTAATAAACAACCTGTTGGGTTTCTTCAGCCAGAATGAGGTGGTTATGGTTAGACCTAACTCAGGAAGATGACGCTGGCAGTGTGGGCCTAGGGCATGGTGAACAGGAGTGGTCTATCCACCTGAGTGGTTATGAGGACTTGCAACAGAGCAGCGGGCGTGGGAGGGCAGAGCCTACACAGCAAATAGTCTGAACTTGGGACAGTTTGAATGTGGGACTAAAGGGGTCTGTTAGATTGGTCTGTGCTGCTGCAGAGGTATCTACCTGCCTAGATGGTAGGGAGGAGCATCCAGTTTGGGGAAGTGGCCCTGGGGGATGAGTATTAGTCAGTGGCTGTGTTTGACCCCAGTTTCTGTTTGGGCAGGTCCCTCGCACCTCAGAGATTTACATCCACCGAAGTGGTCGAACTGCTCGTGCCACCAGTGAAGGCCTCAGCCTGATGCTAATCGGGCCTGAGGATGTAGTCAACTTTAAGAAGATTTACAGGACCCTCAAGAAAGATGAGGATATCCCACTCTTCCCTGTGCAGACAAAGTACATGGATGTAGTCAAGGTAAAAAGGAAGTTTTGTTCAAACCCCAGTGCTAATGAGGCAATTGCCGCTACCTCACAGAATTCCATGCTCTGAGATTCCACTAGCCTCAAACGTGGAAGCTGAATAAAGTTCTGCAAGCAGCTGAACAGGCGATTTGTAAAACACCTAGGAGCACCAGAGCAGGGAGAAGCAAGAAAAGGGGAGTGATGAGACATGAGGGATATTTTCTCCTTCAGCCACGTTTGCTGTCTCTCCCTGAATCTTAGGGCAGTGAGTGTGTCCACATGGACATCCTATCTGAAAGGTGTGAGTAACAAGACAGAAACTAAAGTTGAGAGATGCTAAAGGTTTGACTCCATCCCTGCAGCAGGAACCAGTAACTCCTGCCTTGGAGGTTCATCAAACCAGCAGGTGTTCCCCACACAGACATTGCTTACTGTGGGCAGTGTCAGGGACCAGAGCGAGTGGGTTTTCCTCAGGGGATCCACAGTTTGTGAGCAGACCAACTACATCTGGGTTCAGGTTGAAAATGGGGTAGGAGATAATGCAGTTATGTTGAGAGGAGAAGGTATTTCTTCCTGTGGCAGAGATGTGGAGAGGTGAAGAGGGCTAGAGTTCCAGAAATTGAGAAATCAAAAGCATGGTGCATGCAAGGACTCATGGCTACTATGGCTCAAAAGGAGTATTAGCTGTGTGGCAAAGTATGGTGGGAGATGATGGAAAGGGGAAGAGTGTACAGAATTCCTGTTAGGAGGGAGGACAGGAGTCACATGGCTTTCCATGGTTCCATCTCCCATTTGGGGGGACATCCTGTCACTGAAGTCTGATCTCAAACCAGTGAAGAGCATTGTGGCAACCAGCCGTGACATCTGGGGGAAAGAGCTCGCTGAGGCTGGACCACCTGTAGGACAGCAGTCAGCTGGGATTGGCAGGGGCAGTTTAGTTTATTACTGGGAAAGCTGTCATGTGATTGTGTGTGTGCACATCCATGCGACGATTGCCCTCTGGGCCTTTATCAGGAGTGCAAACAAACGAGTTTGGGCAGGAGCTAAGTGCATCCTGTCCCGTGATCGTAAGAGCCGTTTTACAGTACAGTTTCAGGGAGACTGCTTCCCAGAGGCCTGAAACCTCTTATCAGGTGAATACTTCGTGTTCTTTTCCCCCAGGAGCGAATACGCCTAGCTCGACAAATCGAGAAAGCTGAGTACCGGAACTTCCAGGCTTGTCTGCACAATTCTTGGATTGAGCAGGCAGCGGCTGCCCTCGAGATTGAGCTGGAAGAAGAGATGTATAAGGGTAACCCTTTGGGCTGGATGAAAGCGGAGAAGGATACATTCATTTTTCCTTTCTTTTCCCTTCAGTTTTTGCATTTTTTTATTGGAACTTTCTATACTACGAATCCTGTTGGAATCACCCAAATGCCCTTTCTTTTTTGCTAATGGCCCATAATCCCTGATGAGCCTGATGCCCTCTGTCTTTATTCCTTCCACCTCTTCTGTCCTGTCTGGAGCCCTTGGCTGCCTCTGTCTCACAAGGGAAGGCTGCAGTCCAGGGAGCAGGTTCTCTGGCCAGACCTCCATGTTTGGTGCCAGCTCATTTCTTTAACCGGCTGTGACCAAGTCAAGTTATTTAACCTGTCAGCCGTACCTCAGTTTCCTTACCAAACTGCCTCCCTCTCAGGGTTGTAAAGATTGAAGAACATCACATACGTACAGTAATACCTGGCAATAAGCCATTTATCATCATTACTGTTGTACCTACCTTCCCAGCTGACAAAGCACTTCGGTGTCATCATCTCGTTTGATCTCCAGTTTCATGACATGAACAGGCCAGGGATTAATTGTCCTTTTTGTATGAGGCTCATACAAAATCCCTTCTCTCTAGAAGGGATTTGTGTAGTGAAACAGCACCACCACCAGGTACCGCCTTAGCCTTACTCTGTACAGGGACGGGGTTTCTGGAATGAATCTGCATGGTCCCTGCCTAGGAAAGGGAGAACCACATCTCTACCCCATCGTGGGTGCTCCTCCACTGAGGTACAGTATAGGTGTCTTGGTGCCAGAGTCACCAAATTCAGGGGCAGAGTTAATGCCTGGTGTCTGCTCTGCTTGGGACCCAGGAGCTAAAGCAGTGGGCTTGATGTCAGTGAGTAGCTCAGGCCTGTGGCTTGGGTGAGGCTGTGGGGGACTGAGGACCAGGAAGGGAGTGCCCCTTTGCCAGGCCCGCCTGTGCACGTGCAGTCACAGTGCAGTCACAGCACTGGTGGTGAGGCACAGGAGAGCTGGGCTGTAGAAAGTGTAGATCTGTTTCCTGTCTCCTGAGGGATTTTTAGCTGTCAAGCTGCGGGAGCCAGGGTGGGGGGCAGCAAGTGAGAGTAGCAGAAAACCCAGCCTTCAGTCAGCTTACTTGGATACTGTTGTGTTTGACAGCTGGCTCTGAGCTTTGCAGGTACCCTCTCTAAGCCCAAGCTGCCTCCTCTATAAAGTGAAGATACTTCCTGTCTTCGAGGTTTTCATGTGGAAGAAAGGACAGAGAGTGGTCCTGCCTATCCCTCCTATGTTCACAGTTCCCATCACGCCACCACTAGCTTCTGCAGACAGCTTTGGAACCCTGCCTTCCACAAGTAGTTCCAAAATACTCCACTGTCTTAGCCACTAAAGGAAACAAAATGTTTCTGCACACATAGTGAATTTGATCTGGCTTTTATCATCTCTCTAGGAGGAAAAGCAGACCAGCAAGAAGAGCGTCGGCGACAAAAGCAGATGAAGGTCCTGAAGAAGGAGCTGCGCCATCTGCTCTCCCAGCCCTTGTTCAAGGAGGACCTGAAAACCAAGTATCCCACTCAGTCTGGCAAGCTGCCCCCACTCACTGCTGCCCTGAGGAATGGTGAGTCTGCGCTGAGCTGCCTCTCCAGACAGAAGAGGAGGCCCAGAGAACAGCAGCAGGCACCGCCACAGCCAAGCACAAGTGCTGTGTGACCGCTGCCCAGTCAGGCTGTGGGAGGCCCAACACCGCTGTCTGTTCTCCGCTGAGCTTGTGAATCCCTCCTTCCTTCCTCCGTGTACCACTCCACCACCCCATAAAGAAAATCTGCTCTCCCACCCTGTAGCAAGAGAGACCCCATGCAGATTTGTGTCGTGGAGTAAGAATTCTCACAACAGCTTCATCTTTCTGTACTCGTGTTTACAGACTTGTGTGTTCAGCTTGTTCTCTTGAATTAAACAAATGGTCAGAGCCACAGTGTCATCCTGGTATTTGTAGCCGGGGCAGTTTGTTTCATTAACGGCTCAGTGCCTGAGCGTTGATAGGGCGGGAATGGTGTCAGAGACTCTCGCTGCAGGTCACTTAGTGCATTGCTGCCAGGTCCTCGGCATGTTCCCATCCCCCCCTGCAGCAGCACAGCCTCTAGCTCAACTCCCTATGGCAGAATGGGCTCCTTGTGTCATTCAGCCCCAAGAATTCCATGCACCTGTCTGCAAAAACAGGCTTTTCCTGGGGCCTGGGATGCCTCTGCTGTCCCCACCTGGGGGAATGCTGCATTCTGCCTTAGCCACAGTGCCCACGCTTAACCCTCCTTGTAGCACTGGCCACACTGTTCTCTTGGCTGAGCTCTGCAGGGTGCAGGCCCTTGGGGCTTGGCTCAGGGCCCTGGGTAGGCCCGTGCCCAGGGAGAGTGGCCTGGTGCCACCCTGGCTCCCTCTGGGCCAGTCTGGGTAAGCAGCTACAGCTGCTACAACCATAAGCTGGATTTCTGCATAGCTCAGTGTGGACTTGGAGATGTTCATTTGGGACACAGTACAGCTGCATGGTTCAGGGGACCCTCTGCATTTGAAGAGGGTACACATGGACCAAGGTACCCCAAGATCCAGGTAACCTGGCCTTCCGTAACACTCATTTCATAGCTGAGGAAACACACCAACTGGTTAAGACTGACTCAGAATCACATAGCAGTCAAGTGGAGTTAGAACTCAGTGCATCTTCCTTCTAGGCCCAAGGCAACTTCAGAAAAGTGCTTTGGTCTTGGGAGCCAACAGTGGCTGGGAATGCCCCTACCCTGCCTCCCCGCAGTGTCAGCTAGAGACCTGGCCAGGAGGAGAGAACACAGCTGGAGGAGCGCCCCCATCCAGAGGTCAGCAGGGGACTAGCATTTTCCAAATGGGGCAGTGGAGGGCAGTGTGGGTGGTAACCACTTACTACTCAGGCCTTAGCAGTGGCTGAGCCCTGGGGAGGTCTCGGGCCACCTGACACAAACCTAGCACAGAGCTCTTGGTAACAGATGGGGCCAGCTTCCCGGCCATTCTCACACCCGGGAAGGAGAGACTGTAGTGAGGTGTGTTCCCTGAGCTTCCTGTCCCTCCCCACATCATCTTCATGTACACAGCCCACAGGAGATCACTCGGTGTTGCTCTCGGGTACACGGCAAGTACCCAACATTGAGAAGCTGGAACAGTTGTTCATGGAAACCATTTTAATGCCAGGAAACCTGAGCTACTGCCCAGGGAAGCAGGTGCCCATTGAGCCACAGCCCCTGCCCTCCAGTTTCTGCTCAAGGTAGTGAAGTCTCCCTCTGCCTCATGGGTCCCCTGATGGTCCCACATTTGGGGGCCCACAGCATGAGGCAGCACTGCTACCTGTCAGGAATGGTGGGTTGGGGTGCATTTCATGTGCAGAGCACTTACCATCAGGTATTACAGTTGTCTTCATGCATAATCTCACTCCATTTGAAGCAATAAGCCTGTAGCATGCCTCTGTTCCACACGTGATTGGAGCTCGGAGTGGCAAAGTAATTTAGCCAGGGTCACACAGCGAAAGGCAAAGCTGAGATTTGAACCTGAGTATTTGGCTCCAGAGCCCTTTTGTTGTGCTTAAAATAGGAACCCAGACCAAAGAAAGGACACTGCTCTTTCTGTTGCTAAATGTTTTCCAGTGCTTTGTTTCCTTTGGAAAGAAATACACAGTTGTAAAGACGAGCCCTCAAAGCCTTCGGTCTGCAGAGTTGGGTCTGTAGGGTGTGGGGAGTTACCCAGGAAGTGGCAGCACCAGCATAGCTGGCTGTGGACACAGGTAACTGCACAACGCCTGGTTTTATTCAGCAAGCTCCTCGGTCCTGTCACTTCCTCTACAGTGCCTTCCCTTAGGTACAGGGCCTGAAGGCACACATGGAGGGAATAAAGGCAGGATTTGGATTTGGTCAGTGGTTTTGTGAAAAGGGAAAAGCAGCGGGCATGAGGATGAAACTGTGGCAGGGCCTTAACGGCCACCTCTCCGGGAGGTGGCCCTGTGTGGGAATGCTGCAGGGGAGCAGCTCCACCAGAGAACCCCACACAGCCACAGATGCAGAGAAGGGCTGCCAGTCTCACCTCCTCGGTGCTTCAGAGCCCTGCTGTTGGGCCCAGGACCTACCTTGGTACCTCTCAAGAGGGCCCAGGGAGGGCATCGGTCAGCGCCCTGTGTGTGCATGCACTTCACTTTGGAAGTGGATTCCCTGGAGATGAGTCCAGACTCCAACCTTCCTGCCCAGAGCCGGATGGGATACTGAACAAACTCCGAGGTGAGGGTCAGGTTTACATCCCTGTAGAAAAGCTGGTGCCCTTGGGCCCAAATGCCAGCTGAGGGCAGTGTGGGAACCAGGGTGCCTGCTTAGAAGTAAACCACCCCGACAGTGCTATTGGCTTTCACCAAGGTAGATTTGTGTCAATAAGACTTGGAGTCTGCTACCCAGTTCTGTGCAGACTTATGTCATAGCACCAACAGATTCTAAGAAATCCCTGCAGAATGAAACTGGTGAGAAGGTGGCCTTTGGTTACAGAAGGGACCCCAGGGGCGTCCACACCTGACATTCTCCATTTGCTCCTGCAGAGGAAACAGAGGTGGCTGGAAGCGCTTCAGCCCAGGCCTTGTCTGGTTGGACCCCCCATCAGGGCCATCTTGGCTGCCAACCCACGCAGGCCAGGCAGGTGAGGAGGTTCTTGAAGGGGACCCGTGCAGGTGGATGAATGAGGAAGCATGGCCAGGCAGTTGTCACCAATGAAAATCTCACCCACTGTCAATTTCCATGGCTCGTCTCTGCTCTTTGCCACCTATCCCCTTGCCAGGCCACAAAGAGCAGGGAGGGAAAGGGAGGAATAAGCCAAGACAGCCTTCTAAAAGATACTCTGCTCAGCTAGAGTCCATGGCTGCACAGGCTTCTCCCCAGCTGAGCGCCTAGACCACAGCCTCTGATCTGTCGGGGCTGAGGGAACATGAGCACATGGTGCAGGCTGTGGTCTCTGCAAGCCTTTATCCAGGTGGGGCTGACAGCAGGTAGCAGAGCCCTGAAGTCAGACCCTTCTGGCCCTGAGAGGTAGAGGGGGCCCCAGCAACCTGAGCGTTCTTCATGCTGAAGGCAAAGGCCCTTTTCTGGACTTTGGCATAAAAGACTCAAGTGAGGGGCGGGAAGACGCCCCCATCATGAATGGAGACACCCCCCAAAGACCAGCTCCACATACAACTGGGCTGGATGTCTTCACAGTGCTGTCACTCATCAAGACAACTGGCCTTGAGCTTTCTTCCCCCTGCAGAGGAGGGGCAGTGCCCTTGGTGAGGAGAAACCAGAGGTTCCCATTTTCATACAACAGGATCCTCCTCCTGGTGAGGAAACAGGTCCAGTGAAGGTAGGTGACCCACACAGGGTCTCACAAGGAACTGGGGTGCACAGCCAGGGTTCCTGGCTTCTTGGCCCAGAATTAGAAGGCATTTGACCCTCCATCAAAATAAATACTAAAAATATCACCAAGTTACCATAGTCCGTAATGGGCAAGCCTTGTTTCCAGTGGCTTTGCCCGAAAAGCTATACATTTTCTAGTTAGAACCTAAATCGCTTAAAAGATAGAAAAGCCGGAGTGTTCCATTTAGAATGCAGTTCCGTTGGGTGACAGGTTCCACTGCATGGCCTAAAATGAATCAGTGTTTATCAGCTGCATAAAGGATGTTATAGTGGGATGTTTTATACAGCAGGTAAACAGAAGGGATCGCAGCTTCAGGGAACACATGGTGGTTCAGGGCAGTATCCATCTCGTCCACGTACTCCACCTGCAGGGCGATGTTCAGTGCCTGGGACAGGGCCGTGATCTGGATGTGGTCACACTCCATGGCCATGGGCTCCACTTCCTGCAAAGCCAAGGTGAAGAAAACAAGGAAGCTTAGGGATTCCAGCAGAGGTCTGGGGCATGGTCACCCAGAGCACACTGGGAGGTGCTCTTCACTGCCACCTGGGAGGTGAGGTGCTGACACCTTCATGTCACAGGGGGAGCAGGCTCCAAGAGGAAGTGACGCCACTAGAAATCATCAAGCTTGCAAAAACTGAACATGGTTATCTTTTTATGCCAGGCTCTTTTACTAAACTGGAACGAGGCAGGAACTCTGCAGCCTGGCACCAGACAGAGCCACAAAAGAGCCTGTCCAGTAATGAATCTTCAGTGCTCAGAGAGGCCAGAGGCCCAGTGAGGGACTGAGTCTGGATGCTGAAGAGAACGGAGAGAGGCAGACCTGGGAGCAGATGTGGTGACTCACAGAGGGGCTGCTGCTGCCACACTAGGTCAGGGTCTAACTTTTTAAAGAGACCAAGATAGCCATAGGAAAATGGTCCAGTGTTTAGATGTTGGCCACAACTCCAGATTAAATAAATTGAAAGCCAAAAACACATCTTGGGACAAATGGAACTGCAGCTGATACTCTGTATTTTTATACACAGACCAGTCTAAAGCCTGGATTTTCCAGATGGGAACTCCCCAGGGACGGGAAGTGACCTGTCCCTAAACATACAGCCTGCTAACCCCTGAACTGCAAGGGTGGCTGACACCCACGTCCCCGGGCCAAGGATGGGAGCTGAAACTGCAGGAAACCAACGAGAGCCAGGCTTGCACCCCAAGACCCGAGCCCCAGGAGGACCTACATGAGTGCAGAAGCCTTTGATATCCACCTCCTCATCGACGAAGTGTCGGAAGAAGTCGGCGCGGTTCCGGATGAAGGCGGATGTGAGCAGCCGCAAGAACTGAACGATGCGGTCTGAGAAGCTCTGGTCGTTGAACACTTTGAGCAGGTTGGACACCGAGCCATCCTTCTCTACCAGCTCCACCACGCTGTAAAACTGCACCCCACTGGCCATCAGCAGGGGACACCCCAGCAAGACCCATGCCATCTGCCAGGATGTCCTCAGAATGTTCATTTCCAGATCCTCAAGCTATGGGATACATCAATCGGATTTTGGCAGAGCCAAGTGCTGAGGGCTAGTGCTACTGTAGCCCAGAGGCACATCTAGGGGACAGCATGGGTGTCCCCACCACCGCCTGTGTTAGAATTCCTCCATCACACATTCAGAGCTGCGGGGGCCCAGGTTCAACTGTCCCTGCACACATCAGCTGAGGTAGGAAGGGGTGAAAGAGGTGCCTCCTCCAGAGGGGTGCAGGCCCAGGGCCCCCCAGGCCACCAGAACCCACAGCAGGTAGCAACCCTGTCCTTCCCCAGCCCCAGGAGAGAGGGAAAGGGAAACATCCTCAGCTGGGGACTGAGGATCGGAAGAGTCTATTCTCATCTGCTCTGCCCATGAGAAGGCCCTGGCTCCTCAGCCAGCCTGGCACCCTTGAACTCACAGCATTAAAGAAGTTCTGGAATTTGTGCTCCTCAAAGCCAGCAGCCAAAAGGTCATTTGGGGTCTGCAGCACACACTCTTTGAACCTGCAGGGCAGCAGATTGGGTGGTCATAGAGGAATCCAGGGTGTCCCATGCTGAGGGGCCCATGTCACCAACAGGTAAAGTGCCTTCCACCTTGCAAAGTACATCCACGGGGCCCCCACACTGATGTGCTTTGTCTTCCCCTCTGTGAATCAACCCAGAGGTGACGATTACACCCCCTCCGCAGGTGAAGGGATGGGGGAAATCACCGCCCACTCCCAGGCTGCTGATCTCACTTTCCAAAGGTCTCCTGACTGCCCCTCCTTATCATCCTCTGACCTGGATGTGTCCACTTACCTCCTCCTACCTGTCCCCGGCCCCCCCCCCCGGTGTGCCAGCGACACTCTGGCCTCCACCCCTGGCACAAAGCTCCCCACATGGATATGAGTTTCCAGCAGCACCTCATCTCTACCCAGTCATACCACCCACACAGAACCGTCCCTGTTCGCACTTCATCCCATGGCACCGACCAGAGCTCTGGGAATGCTCTCCTCGCCACCGCTGGTTTATTCCCCCTCATCAGAGCTACTGAACTTTACACTTCCAGGATTCCAGGAATTCTCCCAGCCAGGAGAATTAACACAGACATTATTAAGACCCAAATGGGCTGGGCGTGGAGGCATAGGCCAGTAATCCACCACTCTGGGAGGCTGAAGCAGGAGGATCACAAGTTCAAACCCAGCCTAGGCAACTTAGCAACTTAGTGAGACCTTATCTCAAAATAAATAAATGAATAAATAAAAATAAATAAATTTAAAGCTCTGGGGATGTAGCTCAGGGTGAAGGCCTTGGGGTCAATCCCCAGTGCCACAAAACAAATGCAAAACACCAAATGGTATAAACTTGCAAAGAAAGTGTACCTGAAAACAAAGATGATAAATACTCAAAACCCCTTGTTTTCCATTATTCGGTGTCATCTACGCTCTCAAGATCATGTGTCCTACTGTGAATGTGTGGTGGAAATGCTGTGTGGATTACAGTGTGTGGTCTCTTTCCAATTCTGTGCCCAGTGACCTCATTCTGCTACCTGGAAATCGATCATGACAGGAGTATTTACACCACAGCAATTGGTAAACACCCAGGCCTCCCTGATGTTAAACACTTGCTAGCACCCAACCACCCTTCCAGAGCCACCCAAAGACCCTTCTCTGTGAGTTCTGCTCCCACAGAAGGCTCTTAATGCACAGCCCCTCCCTGGCACCCGAATCCCTGCTCTGGGAGGCCTGGCAAGGAATCCCTGCCTGGGCCCTGGCTCCAGGACCCAGAGCTCTGCCTCAGACAAGACATAGCCCCAAGTAACTGCAGGAAGGGCTGCTGCTGTCTGCTGCCATGCATGGGAAGGACAAGGGAGCAGCTCTGTGGGACCAGCAGCCACAGTCACTGACAAGGTTGAGGAGTGGGGGAGAGATTTCACAAAGGAGGATAAAGTCACAGCCCCAGAGTATGTATGAGGGTCCATGTCTGAGGAGGGCCAGGCCCTGCCCAGTCCTCCAAGGACTTTGAGCCCCCAAGAATCAGGGCCAGGTGGGTCTTGGCTCCCCGATGCTTAGTATGGTCCAAAGCCTAGCAGCGCAGAACCTCGGAACCATTAAGACCTAAGTGTGAGGAACCTGCATCCTAACAAGCTCCCCTGGGCTCCTACAAATGTCCAAGTATGCAGAGCCCTGGAAGTCTAATGTCAGGTCACCGCCGGGACCAGCTCCAGACAGAGACCTTCTCTGCACTGGCCTCAGGGCCAGGCCGGGCCAGGCAGACACTGGACCACACACCCTCAAGCCCAAGGTCAGCGGCAATGATTTAATACGCCAAGGTAGAGCTTTTTTGTTGTTTTCTTCATGGAGTGAGTAACCAAGTAAGTGCTCAGGGTGCCTCACCCGGGCTGGCCCAGACCTGGGTGACACAGAGGCTAGAAGCACAAGGAAAATCACTGATGCCCCCAGGTTGCCTTCGGCCTCACCGCAGCAGCAGCTGGGCTTCCCCAGCATCCAGACCTCTGCCAGGAGCCACCGGGTCCCTCCCTCCCTCCCTCCCTCCCAGAGACCCAGGGCTGACCCAGCACGGAAACCCAGGGAGCCCTGCCACCCACCGCCACTCACTTGAGGATCTCTCTACTCTTGCCCAGCAGCGACTCTAGGTAGGAATAGCCCAAGGCCCGGTAGAAGCAGTTGCCATCCCCTCTGGTCTTGCGGATTGCAGTGAATCTTTTGCTGAGTTCCTGCGGACAGGGAAGGACGTGTGGACACCTGCAGTGATGCTGGCCTGGCCATGCGCCCCAGGTCTACCTCTCCCAGACCACACCCGCCCCTGCCCTTCAGTCTCGCCCACTCTCATTCCTTCAGCAAATACACAGATGGTGGCCTGGCATCCGGCAGAGAGCACTGTGACCACTGTCCCCAGACAGCTTATAGTCAGGGGAGGTGACAGGTGATTAGATGATGGTGAGAAGAGGGGTCTTATGGGGCAGGGGGTCCACACCAGGCTCCAGAAGCCAGGGAGGGCTTCTTGGAAGAATGGCCCCTCGAGAAGTGACAGCTGGCAGCAGAGTGGGGTGTGGCGGGCACCCAAGGGAGCAAATGACATGGGCCGGTGGGTTGGAGCCTCCCAGGCAGACTTGGCCGTCTGGACGGTGCTCCAGACGCTTCTCAACAGTATGAGAAATGTCCACAGTGCACCCCCGCAGGCCTGCTCCGAGCAGCCAGCGTCCTCTTCTGCGGCCTGGGCCCCCTGTCCTGCCTTGTCAGAGTTTTGTCAGAGGAGCACAGTTTGTAGGGGCTCAGCGAGCCCCAGCTCCCACCACAACGATGAGAAGGCCTGGAGTGGTCCGGGCCGCCTGAAGCAGGCTGGCCAGGAGGTGCCCACAAGACCCTGTTCTCAACCCCCCAGAGGACACTAGGGACACGAGTTGGGGTGCCCCAGCCCCTGCTCCTGCAGCTGTGTGCGGGTCTCAGGATGCCAACACCACCCGCCTACACTGCTAACTGACACCCACCCCTTGTGGGAGTCTCAGATAAGTCAGGGACGGGAGGCTGTGCCCTGTGTTTTGAGGACCCCAAGGAGGGGCTACAGCAGCACTGGGTGTCCGTCCTGGAGCTGGCCCGTCCCGCCCATGTGTGCAGCAGGGCAGAGGCACTGCCAGAGATGGGCCCCACGCGCCTTCTACTGCCCTGGTCCCAAGGGTGATCTTCTTGGCCCTGCAGCAACTGCCCTTGTCCTGGGAGGTGCCCCAGTGCAGTGGTCAGGAAGGTAGTCCATGAGGCCAGGCCACCTGGGTTCAATTCCCAGCTCAGCCACTCAGGTACTGTGATTGTGCCTCAGTTTCCTCAGCTGTAAAAGGGGGATAATAGTCCTTGCCTCACAGAGTTGTAAGAAAGTTCCAGGGAGTAGATGAAGCTCTAAGAATCATGCTTAGCTTTTGAAAAAAAAAAAATGTTTTGTCTTTTTGGCCAGAAAAGGATTTCTTGCTAAGGCACAGGCCCAGCACCAGAATATTCTGGGAGTGCTATAGTTGGCCGGGAACCTGCTGCAAACTGAGTCTTCAAAGCGTCACCCACTTCTTTGCACCCAACTCCATTCCACTTCATTTAAACTCATCTTTCTACCCTCTGGCTCACCTGGATTTTCCTCTGATAAATTCTGTTTTCAGGATGATCCCGAAGAATCGATAGAATGTCACATTTTTCTGATATTAGGTTGAAAGATGTTTCACTCTGAAAGACAAGGAAAGATGAAACGTTGTGACCATCCCAAAATTGCCTGGGTTCACCCAGCTGAGAGCCTTTTAGCTCCTGGTCACCCTGAGCAGCAAATGATACCTTCACTCAACCTGTGAGCATGTGACCAGCATCCGAGATGCTTGCCCGGACTGTCACTGTCCCCAGACAAGACGGTTGGGATCAGTACCATTATGAAGAAGTGTCTCTGGTTATAGGAAACTTGTCCTGTAACCTGCAGACTGACTCACCTCATCAACCTCAAACCTAATGAATCTTCATGCAGGAATCTTACATGTCCTTTCGTCTCCTTCTGTCCTTCCTGTCCCATTCCCTCATGCACTCCTTTATTCACCCACCAATTCCTGAAGATCCAGCCTATGCCAAGTACAATGTCTCATGCTGGAAACAGGGAGGGAAGAACCCCAGTGCCCACTCACCCCAGCAAAGCTTGTAGCTTAGAGGAAAACTAATGATGCCAGGTAACAAGGTCGGTCACCAGGGGAGGCCACCCTGTGTGGCACTGGAGGAGGGCTGGAGGGCAGCATGGGGAAGGGCGCTGAGACCTGAGTCAGCAGAGCTGACCAGCAACAGGGGGCACTGTGCATCCCGCTTGCAGGTCAAGGTCACACTGCAACTCAGCTCTGGGTCAAGGTCATTTCCAACCCAGAAAGGCCAACATCCCAGAGTCAGGGTCTCTCCAGGTCTGAAGAACTCAGCTGGCAGGGAGGGACCATGGCAGGGGAAACTCCAGGACCCGGGACCCTGCAGGAGCCATCTGTGTTCAGACAGCCACCTCCCCACAGTGGGCTTTCCTACCACCCATCAGGGCTCAGAAAAGTGGGTGATGCACCCCATCTCCAACCTGTTCCTCGTGTCAGCACAGAAACAACACAGGAGGATGATGTTCAAGCCGCCTGTGGTTTAAAATAAGGGGGCCCTGCGTGCAACCCCGGGAGACCATTTTCAGGCAGAAGTGCATGGGTGAAAGGTTGGTTGCCTTGAACTGCTCTATCTGAAAACAAACGCCCGCCCTCCTCCTTTATGCCATCGTTTTTGGCACAGAGCTGTGGCTGCAGCTCCTCCTTCCCTTGATGCCTTGGAGCCCATCGGTCTGTCCCAGGGGCCCCTCCGCCTCGCTGCTGACTCACGGCTAATCCCAACCCAAACCCCACACCTGGAGGGGCCGTTGATGTCACAAACCGCATCCCCATGGCAGGAACGTCCCCGTGCCTTTGAGGCGTAGTTTCCTCCCAAGGTGAGTCCCCAGAGGCAGAGAGCTGGGCCACGCGGTTACACAGTGAAGCCTCGGTGACTTTAGGGTCACTCCTGTCTCTGCAAGGGACAGGCTCTGAACTTCTGATAATGACCTTCTCTGGGCCCAATTCCAGTACCTGACATCAGGACGGGGAGAGGCGTTGGGACTGGGAAGGGGCAACTCCAGGAGGCACAGATGACCCTCCCTCCAGTCTCCAATGCTGTACAGCACCGGGCAGTGGGCCCTACTGTCCACCATCTCCAGCCCACCTGTCTGATTGCCCAGGGACCATCATAGAGCCAGGTATGGCGGGCAGATGAAACGTCCGTTAAATGAACAATAAAAGCCACCACCTCCATGAAGTCTTTGTGCTCCCTGTTCCCATGCTGAGCCAGGCTTGGGCTCTCCCTGAACTCACACTTCAGTCCTTTGCTCCCCTCCTGGTGGGCCCACACATGCCCACCCCTAGACTTAGGAGGGAGAGTCAAGGCAGCTTCCCAGAGGAAAACCTCACAATAGAGAAGAATCTGTTGTCCCAAAGGACAGGAGAAAGTGTGTTTGCAAAACAGGACCTGAGTGTACAGGTGCTTGGGGTGGGGATGTGGGATTCTGGGTTTCATTTCTAGAAGTTTCCATCCCATACCCAACTTTCTTTACAAAACTAAGTCAGCCTCAGGATCCCTCCCTGTCTGCCCAGGAACCATGGCACAAGCTGGCGGGCTGCGCAACCCCCAGAGGAATCAGACAACTGCTCCGGCAGTATCTGATGGCTACTGTCCTACCCACCACTACCCATTTCTTCCACATTAACAACCCCAGCTGCACTCTGGGCAGCATTATGAAAATGACAGGGTAAAGCACGACTATCCTACCTCCTTCCCAATCATCTTCCTAGCCTCCCTTGCAGCTACAGGTGGCCATGTAACCAGAACTAGCCAACCAGACCCATGGGAGGTCTGTTGGGGCCTGCTGGGAAAGTTTTTGATTTGGATAAAAAGAACAGGGATGGCAAATCCAACTCCTTCCCCACTCTTCCTCCCTTTAATGCAGGTGCAACTTCTTTATAACAGCCATCCTGTGAGCACAAGTTGGGAGCCAACATACAGAGGATAATTTGATGATCTCTTGCTACTCAAAACCCAAGACACAAAAGTAGTGACAAGTGCCATTATTGTGACCCTACTCTATACCAAACCCTGGGACAGAGGCTCTCGTATCCCCATTATCTCATTTAATCATCACAGCAATCTTGTGAGGTGGGCATTTTTATACCCACATTACCAACAAGGTTGGATCCCTTGTGGCAGGAAGTGATTTAATATACCCCTGTGTGACTCTGAAGCCATGCAAAGGCAACCATGCCAAGTGCTGGGCATGCAGAGCCCAGAGTCCAGCAGCTCTCAAAGGACCAGGGCTGCCAGGCCACAAAACAGTGTTCTGTTTGGGATGGCTGGGCCCAAGCCGCTGCCCTGGCCCTGCAGCTGTCCCAGACACACAGACAGCCTGGTCCTGCCTCCAGCTCCCAAGCCTGGGAGAGGTTCGTCTAGGGGACCAAGGACCATTCCTAGGTGATACCCAGGCTCAGCATTAAGACATCATGGGCTGTAGGTGTAGCTCAGGGCACAACACTCGTCTGGCATGTGTAAGGCCCTGGGTTTTATCCCCAGCAATAAAAAAGACATCAGCAACATGGGCAGGAGAAGTTAGTCTCTTCCACTTCTTCAAGCCTTTTAACACTGTCAAGAAGGTACTCAGCTTCTACTTTACCTTGAACTCCTTTCTACTTAGTCTCTATTTTGAAGTCTAAGTAGACCTCTGATTCGCAGCTTTAAATTGCCCTATTTCCATTTGCAGGGTTTTTGAACTTACAAGACAGCTTTACTGACTTCAGGGGCAATTTTATAAAAAGGTTACAGTTTTTGATCTAAATCACAGGAGACTGACATTATTAGCATAACAAACAACAGTCACCAGCGTGCAGTTAATTTTGTACTCACACCATGTGCTGATGCCAACGATATGAGTGGGATCCCAGAAATCTCAATCTTAATCCCTTCTCCTTGAATGGATCTCAAGGGGACCCTCAGGCATGCCAGAAGGCACAGCTGTACCACCTGGCAGTGCCCCTTCATCCCAATTCATTCCAAGTCTCATTACTTCACTAGCAATGCATTTGGACTTTATAAAAGTCTTGCTGTTTTTGCAGAGAGCTAACTTAAATTACAGCTTGAGGCTTTTAAAAAATGGATTAAAAAGCAGAACAACCATATCTAATGCTGCTTGGGCATGGACTGGCACAAACAATAAAAAAAAAAAACAGACCCTCCCCAAATGTCGGGGGCAAGGGGATCACAGGACATAAGCCGGCGATATTTACTTAGCAGTTTCTGAGGTGGCATCACTGGAAAAGTGGAAAGAGTTTAAAGAGTTGATCCTAAATAAAGAGAGATACGTACTTCAGTATAGAAAGTCTCCATCCCGAGGCAAAATGAGGCACCTTTACGGAGGGTCAGGGGAGCACAAGGCAGGACATGCCCGGGAGCCCACTTGGGTCCTGCATTGGACATTTGAGCATCAACTTTGCATTTGGCAAATTCACTCATGCTACTTGAAACGGTGACACTGAGGCATACACACTGGACGGCACCTAGGGCCCCACCTCCTGCCTGCCTTGGTTTCTGCGCCGCCTCCGTTTATTCCTTTTACCCAGTTGCACCCATTCCTCCATGCCCCAGCTGTCCATGTTTCTAAGGCACATCTCTCCACATCCGTCTGTCTTCTAAAATCATTGTGATGAAACACAGGCAACACAAAATACACTGTTTTAACCATTTTCAATGCACAATTCAGTGGCATAGAGCACATTCGATCTCGTGTGGCCATCGCCACCCTCCATCTCCAGAACAACATCGTCCCGTCCGAAACTCCGTCCCCACTAAACACGACCTCCCTGTCCCCTCCTCCCCTGGTCTCTGGCACCCGCATTTCTACTTGGTCTTCAGAATTTCACTACTCTGGAGGACTATGGTTCATTACACATTCACATAAATGGAACGCAGATGTCTTTTTAAAAAGTTTTTTTGTTTTTTGGTTACCAGGGATCGAACTCGGGTCCTTGCACTTGCGAGGCAGGCGGCGGAACCACTGAGCTAAATCCCCGGCCCCTAAAAAAGTTTTTATGTGTTTGTGTTTTAAGTTTGCATACATATTATTTTATAGATACCATGGCTTTTTCTTGGCTCAATGCTATTTAGAATCCTCCCTCTTGACAAGCCGCCCGGGCAGGGATCCTCCATCCACAGGGGATGAAACCTTAGGTTGGCTCCAGCACCCCGTAGTGGTCTCAGGTGTTTACTGGGGCGTCCAGGTGACACCACCTTGGCCCTCAAATCCCTGCCTAGCACACCTCCAGGGTGACCCCAAGTCCTTATCCTTAACATACAGACACACACACACACACACACACACACACACACACCACAAGCGCAGCCCTGGTCCCACCCCCCGTAAGATGAGAGACCCAAACTCCAGGCAGAACGGGGGCACACCCTCCAATTGCTGGCTCATACATCAGGAGCAGTGCACTGGGTCTGACCTTGGCTGGCACTAATTAGTATTTGCTTTTAAAAGTCAGGCTGAAAATTTCCAGGAAGTTATAAAGAAGGAGCAGAGAGGCCACACCTGATCATCCTGCCAGAGCTAATCAGGCCACAGGAAAGAATTTTAGCTCTTTAATTGC